AGGAGAGCACGGCAACCCACTCCAGTATTCTTGCCTGGAGAATCCCATAGACAGAGTAGCCTAGCGGGCTACAGTCCATGGGTCACAAAGAGTCGGACATGATTCAAGTGACTTAACATGCAGTCACGCACAAACCTCCACCAGCCTCTGTACTTCCTTCCCACCATCTGACCCTAGCCAGGCTCTTACCTAGCCAGTCCTTACCCTCTCTGTTACTCAGCCTTCCATTACTCTGACCAATCACATCCCACACATAAAAGTACCTATCTCTCAAAGTGACAGATCTGATGCGATGTTAACAGAAATTAATTTTTTTTCTTTTGAATTGCTATCAAATAGAACATGTATGGATAAAAGAGCACCAATCTTGTTTATAATTAATGAACAGTGTGTGTTAGTCACTCAGTTGTGTCCGACAATTTGCACTGTAGCCAGCCAGGTTCTTCTGTCCATGGAATTCTCCAGACAAGAACACTAGAGTGGGTTGCCATTACCTTCTCCAGGGGATCTTCCTGACCCAGGGATTGAACCCTGGTCTCCTGCATTGAAGACTGATTCTTTACCATCTGAGCCACCAGGGGAGCCCTTAATGAACAGTAGAAAGCTATCCAAATGAACTAATTCACGTGAAAGTGCAAATCCCCTTATACATTTTAAAGGAAGAACTTCTTATCAAAAAAGAATCTCTAATTAATGGCATTACAACTTTGAGGCCAACGTAGTAGGTATATTCAAACAAAACAATAAGAGATTCTAGTCCTGACATGGAAGAAATATTCCTAATCATTTTTGAACTGAGATTCTGTATTAGAGAAGCTTGCTTTGTTGGACTAACATAAATGGGGGGTTCAGGAAAATACTTCAGCTTCACTTGATCCTGAGATTGGCTTCTGCATGAGTTGTGACTCACTTGTTTTCTATAAAAAATAATCTCAGGATAACTAAGGAGGAAATATATACTTTTTCAAAATGTATATTTTGCTCCTAACTGTTCTTTATTGTTCTTACTCCTTTTTTCTTTCAGACAATGTCATTGAGATATCTTTGACAAATAAAAACTGTATATACTTAAGGAGCACAATTTGACAGTGTGATGTATGTACACATTGTGAAACGATCACCACAATGAAATGAAATGACTTACCCATCACCTCTACACAGTCACCATCTTGTACATGTGTGTGTGCTGGGAAGAGGTAAGATCTTCTCTCTGAGTACATGACAAGTGTACAAAACAGTATTTTCAACTACTGTCACCATGTTGTACATTGGAGCTCCAGAACTCATTTATCACGCAGAACTGACCAGTCCGTACCCTTTGATGACCAGCTTCTCGTTTCTTCATCCACTCCTTTCCCCACTCCAGCAATCACTGTTCTACTCTCTCTGCATCTGTGAGTTTTACCATTTTAGATTCCACACAGAAATGAGTTCATACAGTATTTGTCTGTGTCTGACTTATTCCACTTAATATAATCACACGAATGGCAGGACTTCCTTCTATTTCTCTCTTTTACAAGGTTAAATAATGTGTGTGTGTTTGTGGGTATCCACATACACAATGGAATATTACAAATCCACTGCAATGGAATATCCTGGCTGTTGTGAAAAATGCTGCAATGAACTTGAGAGTGCAGATAATTGCATTATTGTTTGAAGAGGAATGCAGAATAAGGTGGGTCATCACCAGGAGTCCACTTGCACATGAGCTTCTGCAGTGTCTTGGGTTAAAACTGAAATCAAGCTTGCCTTGGAACCCACCTCTATTTCCCTCAGCAACTGGCCTAAAAGCAGGCCCCTTAGTAAGTGCCCTCATTCAGCATCCTTCCATAATGCAAACACAGTTTGAAGATTTCCTGTTCTATTATGCGTATAGGACACAGAGTCCAAAACCTTGTCCGACACCCTCACCTCTTCTTATAATAACCTCTTATTATCCTTATTAAAGTCTACAGCAATCTTTCCATAACACTCTGGATGATTCTGGCCCCCAAAAGAGAGATTTCATAAAGGGTACTCTATGAATCTAGCAGCGAGACAGGTTTTTTTCAGCAAGACCTTCCAGTGTCTCTCAAATATTTTTTCAGTAGATGACAGCTTGCTCCAATACATACAATTCTACTTGTGGTACTGGAGTGGGCTGCCCGTAATCTTCCTCCTCGAGTCTATTCATTTTCTCCCCTGACAACTAGGATTTGAGGACTTGAAGGAACACAAAGAGTCTTAAGGAAGTGGATCGATGTAAGCTAGCCTTCATCTTCACTGGATTGTCCAGTTACAGGGTCTTAGGTTCAAAAGGGATGTTCTGCCTCACAGAATCCCATCGAGTTTGGGTGCCAACTCAGAGAATGCATCATCTTCCTGTCTCCTTTTAAGAGTTAATTATTTTTGACAAATTCTTTTTTCTGTTGGAACACTGAATTCTTCTATGTATATATGTATGTGTGCTCAGCAGTTTAGTTGTGTCTGACTCTTTGCAACCCCATGAACTGGAGCCTGCCACGCTCTTCTGTCCATGGGGATTCTCCAGCAAGAATACTGGAGTGAGTTGCCAAACCCTCCTCCAGGGGATCTTCCCAACCCAGGGATTGAACCTAGGTCTCCCGCATTGCAGGAGGTTTCTTTACTGTGGAAGCCACGAGGGAAGGCCCATGCACACGTATACATGAATATAAACTGAAGGCCCTACCTCCTGGAGTTACACAATTCAGCTTGTTTACCACCACCTGCTGATGACGACTAGACTTTTTTTTTAAATTGATGGTGGTGACTTGCAAATTGAATGTCCCTTCCAACTTTAATATTAAAAATAAAAAAACAAGAAAACTGAGGATCATTTTTTCACCTGTATAAGGAATACTAATGGATCACCTTAAAATTAGTCTAGGAAAAACCTTGGTGTGTGTTATAGACAATGAACTGTTAAAGCTGTTGTAAGGTATCTATATTTAGCAGAGTATTTTCATCTTGGGCAATCTGAGCCAAATTTGAAGACTATTAATAAGTTACGTTTGGAACTTTTAACTTCAATGAGGTAGTTATTTGCTGGGAAAGAAACAAATATTAAATTACTAAATAAAGATGGTACAATATCCTTGTTTTCTTTTTACGAAGTTCCTGAAAATCAACTCATCTCAATTCACTGGAATGAGAAACATGTTTAGTATCAAAAGAGCCCAAGAAGACACTGCTATGAAAGGTACAGCCTCAGAGGTGGGTCGATTACGGGGTCACACTTCCTGGTCACTTTGTACAATGTAGATTTAAAGTATAGTGATGCAAAAATTAATGTGACACTTGAAAAAAGAAAAAAAAAAGAGTGAACTGATAGGATGGATGCCAGGCACATGGCTTCCTGCTGCCAAAATAGCTGCCCAAGCTGCCTGACTAGATGTGTAAGATCCCTTGAAATGTCTTGGCAAAAGCTTGTTCAGGAGTGTTGGCCACGGTGCTGAAGTGAGCTGAGGGAGGCAGGGAGGTCTCTGCCAGCGAATCACCCCTTGCCCCAACTCTTTTTAAGACATTGAGCTTATTCATTTTGACAAGACTCCCTAGGATTTCAAATCTGACATAAATTTGGGGAAAATAATGTGTGCGTCTGCATACAAAAGTATCTAGGATACATATTCTTTAGAGAAAGTCAAGTGCTACAAAAACTCCAGGAGAACCCAGTTGAAAACAAAACCCAAATAAAAAAATGGCATTTAGGCTGTTTACTCCAATCGAATGCTACTTAGTTCGCTGCATTTCTCTACCAGATCACTACTGAGATTTGGTAAAATGAATTAATAGCAAAATAAAGTTATCTTAAGGCACATGGCAGAGAATGACAAAGCCACCACCCTGAATAACCATTTCAAAGTAAAAATTATTCTCTAGGCATGCTGGAAGATATTACTATCTCTATTTTTACTCCAATTGAAACTTCTTTTCAGGAAAAAAAAAAAAATGTTTTTTTTTTGATGGTTTATCCTTCCTGCCTTGAAAATGTCCATGTTGATATCAAAATCAGGGCAGCCACTTATCCTGCTAAGCCTTGAATTCCCTCCGGGTAACTGCAGACTGCAGCCAGTGAGTGGTAAGGGAGAGAGAGAGAAGGTATGGCCACCTACTCATTTCACACTCCAATCACCGCCACCCTCTTGGGCATCCGATGCCTAGTCCTCTGCCAGGCAATTAGCTTCCGTTCTGTTTAACTTCCAGACCTATGGCTCTAAATAAAAGTCCTGGCTGTGGGAACTGGCTCCGGGTAGCCCTTGGCTCCCTCCTCATGGGTGACTGGCAAGAGTAACACTTTCTTTGACAGTCTTAAAAGAAGCCGTTTAATTCCTAATGATATTTCCTGGCAAAAAGGAAAAGGGAAGCCACAAAGTGGGATTCCGGTCCAGAGACGGAGGCCAAGAGTGTGGCTGCTGAACCCAAGTCTTGCTTTAAGGCTGTTGCCACTCGTCTCCCTTTCCCACCAGAGTAGTTTTTTTTTTCTCCTCCTGAGACTTCCAGCCTGGAGGGTGTCACCTACTGGAACTTCTGAACCTCTGGGAAGCTATGGGTATGATTTGGGAATCAGATGAGCACGGCTGGAGGCTGCCCCAGGGATTTCCCGCGGAAATCACCCAGCTCTCTAAGAAGGCGTTTCAATAAGGAAGTAACCAGTAAAGCGATCTTGGCGGGAGAACCCCACGAACATCTTAGAAAAATACCAGAAACCACTGGATACTTAATGACCCACGTCTCCTCCAGTCTGGTTCCCTCAGCCCTTTCTGAAGTCCCATCAAGCGGTTTGTGGGGTTTTGCCCCGTGGAGGGAGGTGGGTGAGAAGTGCATTTGTTTCTGCGATAGCGTTCAGGTGAGACTCCCAGGTTTTAGCCCGGGCGAGGACCTCGGATCGCCTCCCCTCCGACGCACCAGTCGCCAGGGGTGAAGGGGGCGCGCAGACCTGTGGACCGAGGGGTTCCACTCCGTAGACTCGCCCACCGCTCGAGGTTCTGGGACCCCACAACCTAGCACCGGTGTGACTCGTGATGCGTTCCCGTCACCTCCTCACCGCCCCCATGCCTCCAACCCAGGCACATCCTCTCCCACGCTGCGCTACTGCGGTCCGCGCGGTCTCTCCTCCGAGTGTCCCCGGTCCCCAGGCGTCGGCATCGCTGCCTCGCGGAGGTGGTGCGGCGGGGCGCAGGGCGCAGGGCGAGGAGGCTGGGGGCGGGCTTGCGGGGGAGGGGAAGCGGGGGGCGGCCGGGGCTGGGGCGCCCGGGGGCTCGCGTAGACCCGGCTGCGGGAGCGGGGTCCCCGGCCTCCCGGGGCGCGCGGGGGAGGCGCGGGGGGCGCGCGGCACTCACCCGCTGCTGCTGCCGGCTGCTGACTGCCACGGCGGCGGCGGACGCGGCGCTGTGCCGGAGCTCGGCCGCCTGCCCGGGTCGCAGAAGGCTCCGGGTGAACCTGCGGGTCCGCTCGCCGGCCATCGCCCGTCGCGGGCCCGGAGTGTGCGTCCCGCCGGCCTGGCCCGCGCCGACCTCCTCTACCCACCGCCGTTCAGGAAGCGGAACTCGGCGCCTTTCCCCCCCTCTTCCTCGCTCTACTCGCAAGAGGCGGGTTTTTCTCTCTAGCACCCCCACTCCCCCACCCCCTGCTCTCCGCCGAAGCTTCGCGACGACTTTCCAAACTCTGCGCTCCTCCGGGCGCGCGCGGCCAACTCGGCGAGCGGCCCCGGCCCGGCGGCGGCGCCTCTGGAGCGGGGGCCGCGGGACGCGCGTGGGGCGGCTCCTGCCCGCGCCGCCCCCGGGCTCGGCTGGCGACCCGGGGCTGTGCCCGCCGCCCCGGGGCTCCGGGCGGGGCCTGCCCGCCGCCCTCGTCCCCATGTGGAGGCTCCTCGCAGGGCTGGCGCTCTGGCCGCGTTCGCCGGTTTGGCCGACTTTCCCCGGGCTAGCCAGGGGGCGCGGGCCAAGCCCGTTCGCCCTTCCAGCAGTGGAGACAGGTCAGAGGCTTAAAAAGGGTCTGATGGCTGGGATTTCCGCAGCATCTCCCGTCAGGCTTTCCAAGTCTCCTTTGCCTAAAACGCCTCACTCAGGACCCTGGAATAAGCGTCCCAGTTCATTCATGCCTCAGCCAGTATTCAGGAACCACCTACTATGTGCCGGTTCACCTTGTTATGGAAACGGGACCAAGAGAGGAGCTTACCAGCCCCATCTTAAGGCGGTGGGGGTGATAAGGCTTTTGAGTTGGGGGTGGGAGGCAGCAAATAACCAAATTAATAAAGAATACGAATCTGTGAACAAGGGAGTTTCGGATAATACAAGCTAGAAACCAGTAAGTCGGAGTAATGTGATGTAAGAGGCTGGGAAGGGGGGTGGAATCACATGGGGTGAGTTGTCTAGACCGGACTGTGGACTGTGGTTTTACCAGGTAGTGTGGGTCAGGTATCGGGGTGGAACTTATATCTGTGTTGTTTCTCTGCCTCACTCTTGCCCCACATTCATCTGGCCTGCACGTTGTTCCCAGCTATCTGATTAAAGTCTTCTAAGAATTCTTATCCTGAGTGGTTCTCCAACTATATGTGGGGCTGGGATGGAGACGAGCCCCCGCAGCCCCTAGGATACCAGTCTGAAGAGACTGGGGAAAGCCACTCCAAGTATTCTGGGCTTCCCCGGTGGCTCAGCGGTTAAAAATACGCCTGCAGTTCCATACCCTGGAGAAGGCCATGACAGCTCACTCCAGTATTCTTGCCTGAAAAATCCTATGGACAGAGGAACATGGCAGGCTACTGTATGTGGGGTTGCAAAAGAGTCGGACAACTGCTGAAGTACCCGACACTCCAAATATTCTAGATTTCCTCAACAGTTTTTTATAAATCTGTGACCATGAGGTTTTCCCCACGCCAATAAATGGTTTAACACAAGGTTGCATTTGGGCATAAAGAATTTTTAAGTAGCTGATAAATGGAGGTGGGTGAGCTCTCTGAAATCTGGGATTCGATTAGCCAGAGATACTGATGGGGCATCGTTTTGGTACATTCTAGAAATCATGATAGGCAGAGACTCTGGAAGACTTGAGAAGTGCCATATGAAGCATCAGTCGACTCTCTGATACCCTGTGTGATAAACTACTGTGTCTGGCGTTATATGCTTTCACGTGGGTAGCCAATATGGGACCAATATGTTACCTCTAAGTGTAAGCAAAGTAGGTGGTTGCCTTGTGGTGACATATGAAGATCTCTGTGGGAATAACTCCCTCCAACCACACCCTCCACTAACAGGTGTGCCCTGTGGTGATGCTTTCAAATGCATATTTTCTTCAGAGAGATAATTCATTGAGCACTTTGGAATGAACTTGAGTTTCCCAAGAGAAAGCATCTAGTCTTTGTCCCTGGTTTCAGAACAATGCATGGCACACCGGAGTTGCATAGTAATATTGGTTTGTGGATGACTTTTCCCAGGGGCTTAGATGGGCTGGAACTGTCAGAGAGCTCAGCATACCTAAAGCAGAGACAGGCAGAAAGGTGTGTGGGAAGGGAAGGCTGGTGTAAATGAGAATTCCTCACGATGTGTCCTCAGCATGGCAGGTGAGGTACTGACCTTCTCCAAAACCCTGAATAACCCATACAACGCATTCTTCAACTGTATCAAGTAACAGAAAGTCACTCACCCTTCTTTGATTACTATGAATAGTAATAGTTACCCAGAGATTGGTGTGAGAGGATTTGATGAACAAATGCCAATTTGTCCTACCCATACCCTGTATGATGTTTATTCCATGGGTCACACCAAAAAGGAGGGTAAATGTAAGTGACCTTTATCATCAGGGCGTTTCAGTAATGATACACACTGGGACTTTCCTTGGTCCTTGACAGTCATGTACATTTTGGCTAGACCCTCTTCTGAATGTCAAGGACAGAAAGCTGAGTGTCTGCATAGACACAGACATTCTTTGCTGCAGAACCATAATTTCAGACTTGCTACTTTGGGATTCTCTGACACTCTGCTTGTCACTCATCTCCCAGTTCCCTGGAGAGACGTGGCTAAGATGCTTCGTAAAGGCAAATCTATGAAGGTGCCATGAAGATCCTAATTTATGTAAATGTGGGCTTGGGATGATTATGCTGTGTTGATGTAGGTTCATCAATTGTAACAAATGTACTACCTTGGTAGGGGATGTTGATAATGGAGGAGGTTTTACATGTGCAAAGAAAAATAGCCCAATGGAAGAATCCACAAAGGATTTGATTATACATTTCTCCAAAGAGGGTATGTAAATAGCCAGTGCTCAATGTTATTAGTCATCAGAGAAATGCAAATCAAAGTTACAACGAGATACCGAATGAGATGCCACCCCCACTAGGAGGACCATAATGAAAAAATGGAAAATAGTAACTGTTGGGGAGATGTGGGGAAATTGGAACCCTTGTGCTTTGGTGGTTGAGATATAAAATGGCACAGCTGCTTTGGAACAATTTGACAGTTCATCAAAATGGTATACATAGAGTAATCACAGGACCCAGCAATTCTGCTCCTAGAGAGATGAAGACATACATTTAGATAAAAAGTTCTACAAGAATGTTTACAGCAGTCTTATTCATAATAGCTAAGAAGTGAAAAAAATGTAAATATCCTCCAACTGAATGGATAAAATGTGGTATATTCATACAATGGAATATTCTTTGGCAATAAAAAAAGGAAATGTTAGTATATGCTACAACGTGGATGAACCTTGAAAACACTATGCTAAATGAAATAAGGTAGTCACTAAAGATCACACAATTATGATACCTTTTTTAAAGGAAATGCCCAGGATTAGCAAATCTAGATACAGAAAGTAGATTAGTGGCTGCCTAGGACTGGAGGAGTTGGGAGAAAATGGGGAGTGACAGCTAATGGGTACACAGTTTCTTTGGGGGATGATGAAAATGTTCTAAAATTCATCATGTTGGTGGTTGCACAAGAAACAGATTACAGTTATTGTTTCTGGGAAGGGGAACTTGACAGCTGGAGGACAGGCATGCCGATATATATTATTAATATACACGTTAATATGTATTACCATACGTTCTATGTGTTTGTTGGATTTTGTATCACATATATAATAAGCTATTCACAAACAAGTAAATAAAATAATATTTTACAAAATCATATTGAAATGACAAAAGGGTATTAACTACAGATTCAATAAAATTTTTAAAAGTTAAAAAATGTCATGAAGTGGCAATTTTGTTCAATTACCTTTGTTCAATATTGTTCAAGCTTTTACTGTTCTGTATTTCCTAGTATGTAGAACACATAGCCTGCAATCAAATTTTATCAAGTTCTAACTCTCCTTTTTATTTGAGTTGGCTTGGACCAAGCCATTTAATCAGAAAGAGAGAACTCCACTTTTGACAGCCATTTATGAATTATCCACTTTGGACAGGATCTCAATCTAAGCCATGGGGCAGAGAGCAAAGTAAATGGTCTTTACATTCAAACAACTTAATTTCAAATAGAGAAACTGATTTATAAAACACTAGTTAGGGGTGTGCGGGGTAATATTCTGGAAATGGTGTCTATCCAGTAGGACCCATATTAACATCTTTTATTTTCTTATGGCTCTAAGATCGGAAAAAAAAAGTCTCATGGGAGTTTCTGGTGCTTTTTCCTTCCTTCCTCCTCTCCCTCCCTCCCTCCCTCCTTTCCTTCTTTAAAACTCAGATACTCTCCCTTCTTATTCAAAAGCATCAGTGGTTTTTTCAGGTGCAGTAACCACTGATTGGGCTTCCTAGGTGGCACAGTGGTAAATGAATCCACCCACGAATGCAGGAGACAAAGGAGATGTGGGTTCAATCTCTGGGTCAGGAACATCTGCTGGATTAGAAAATGGAAACCCATTCTGGTATTCTTGCCTGGAGAATTCCATGGACAGAGGAACCTGGCGAGCTACAGTCCATGGGGTCGCAAAGAGGCAGACATGACTGAGCACGCACACGCGCGCACACACACACACACACACAAAAGCACTGATTACCTGTCCTCATACATTTTGAAGCTCTTTACAACTAGGAAAATGAAATTGTCAGTAGTCCCCTCTTACCATCCTTCTCCTTGACTTTGTCCAGGGCTGATTACACTAGTCTTATGAGTAAAGAAAGCTTTTAGACACTTAATCAGTAATAAATATAAATGAGAAAATGGTACCATCTTTACTATATCTAGAGATATAATAGTGTGAAAATTTCATCAGTCTTGGTCCAGGTGTCTGAAGACCTGGGTGTGAGTCCAGGTTTTGATACTAAGAGACTGTAGAAGCTAGAATGAATCCCCCCTTTACTAATTTCTATGAGGTTAAGGCACCTTTCCTAAGTGATACCAAGTCCATTGCATCCTAGGTGTCAGTCTGACCATCAGCCTGTCTCAAGGCTTAACTATTTGTTTGTCTAGTATTACACAATTCACAAAATATAATCACTATTTTCTTTGTTTTTAAAATAATTCATCCT